CAGATTCATTGTGACTAGATGCACACCAGAATGAAACACTATCTGGTCCTGCACCATCCTCCCCATTGTGGTGTTTGAGCCTCTCATTGCTGCCACTGTGTCAGTCCATGTTGTTGGGGGCTTCCTCTCTTTCAGTGATCCTCCACTTTTCCAAGCTTGATGTCCTTCTCCAGGGGCTAGTCCTACTTGATAACATGTCCAAAGTATGAGAGGCCAAGTTTGGCCATCTTCGCTTCTAAGGAGCATTCTGACAGTGTTTCTTCCAAGGTAGATTTGTTCTTCTGACAGTCCATGGTACTTTAAATGTTCTTCTCCAAAACCATAATTCAGTTGCGATTCTTGTACAGTATTGCTTAGTTGTTTGAACTGCAAGGTCGGTGGTTCAAGCTCAACTGCTGCTCCTGGAGATCCTATACAGGGTCACTATGGGTTGGAATCGACTCAACAACGGCACTTAACAACAACAACAACAGCATTACTTAGTCATTGTCCAGCTTTCACGTGCATATGACGTCATTGAAAATACCGTTTTCAAAAGGTGTTCAGATAAGGTTTTTTGCTTGAGTCGGTGATAGCTTTGCTCTTGAATGCTTTAAAGAGGTTTTTTGCAGAATATTTTCCTAATACCATACATTGTTTGAATTCTTGACTGCTGTGTGGGTGCATACTCTATGATAATGATAATTATTTTCTACTTCCCACAAAACCTGAAGTAAGCTAAAAACTCACCTGAGGCTGACCTTTATGTGCCCCACTCTTGGTCATCTGAATAACTTACTGACATGTGTTAACCCGGTTGTTACATGAAAATTGGCGTTTTATGAAATGGAGGATAACCACATTAGATTACATCATTACATAGCTGCCAGACTTCATCATTACATAATTTCCAAATCATTGAAAACATGGCACAGCCAAGCTGACACACCAGCATTACTCTGACCTTGTATCTTGGCGCTTGTTACTGCTAGACATGTGTCCTTAATACATAAGCCAGTCAGATAATAGATTTTTTTTACTATTTTTGTAAACTTGAAATGTCAACTAACAATGTAGTCAGTAAATGAGGAGTAGGTGTATTGATCTCACCAAGAAACCTTGGATTGTTAGATCTGTGTAAACTGGTTTGAGGTTGGAACAATTACCATAGTTGATGCAAACAATGTACACATTTTAAGTTTATTTGTACCACACAAACCCTGTGTGATATTTTCATAAGCATGTTATTCCAATTTTTTTCCACAGGTTTCTGGCTTCAATTTTTTCTAATGTCCAAAAAACTTAATATTAAGTATTTATATTGGTACCTATTGATGCTGAAAGGAGCTCTGGTAGCGTAGTGGTTACAAATCGGGCTGCGAACCTTAAGGTCAGCAGTTCGAAACTACCAGTTGTTCCACTGGAGAAAGATGAGGCTTTCTGTTCCTGTAAAGATTTACAGCCTCGGAAACCCTGTACAGGGTGGCTATGGGTCGGAACCAACTCCACGGCACATAACAGCAACAACAACATTGAGGCTGTGGTTTGGTTCCCAGCCACAGACCCTCACTAACCTACCTCTGGGTTTCTAAACTAGCACCTCTCCCAGCAGGATTCCTTCCCTGCTTTGTAAACCACTTTCTCCAAGGTAGGAAGGCATTCCTTTTTCTACCCCAGAAACAGGCCTCACCAGGGTGGCTGGCTCCAGCCCAGGAGGTGCATGGGTCTGCAGCCCTGTGCTTTCTGCCCTACCATCTGGATAGGTGGTCACCACATCAGGGCCTTTTGAATCTCCTTTCTTGGCAGACACTATGGGGTGAGTGTAAGAGCCACAGAAGGGCTCTGCACGCCTCACTTGGACAAGAAGGGTCCGACTGGACACCTTGGAGCCCACAGAGTTGGGGCCATGAGCACCTGCACCAACACTGTCCTGTCATCTGGCTTCATGTGGAGCCAACACCATGGAACCTGTACATACGCAGGCAGTGGCTCCCACCTGCCACAGGACCAGCCTGGGTTCAGGCTGTGCCAACCCTACATGCAACTCTCCACCCGACACTACCCGGACCCAGATCTGCTACAAATAATTCCCAAACTCTCAAGCTCAGCTGTGAACTGCTCCAGGGCAAGCACCCAGTTTCAGTTGTTTATAATCTAATTAATAAAAATCCTGGTGTGGCACTGTGGGTTAATGTGCCAGACTGCAAAGCCATTTGAACTGCAAGGTCGGCGGTTCAGGCTCACCAGCCGCTCCTTGGAAACCCTATACAGGGTCGCTATGGGTTGGAACCAAGTTGATAGCACTAAACAGCAACAACCAAATCCAATTCATAATTTCTTGACCATGGTTTATAACTTTATTATACAAATATGATCAAAAGTAACACTTTCAAACTATTGAATAAATATGAATGAAATTGAAATTTATTGGCTTCTGAAAATGTCACGAGATGTGTGATACATGCATGGGCTCACTAGGCCAGAACTTTTTACTTAATTTCATCATTTATATCCATTATGTGTATCTACCCATTATATTTAAGGAGCTCTGGTATTGTAGTGGTTACAAATCAGGCTGTGAACCACAAGGTCAGCAGTTTGAAACTACCAGCTGTTCCACGGGAGAAAGATGAGGCTTTCTGCATCCATAAAGATGTACAGCCTCGGAAACCCTGTACAGGGTCACTGTGAGTCAGAACCGACTCCATAGCACATAACCACCACCACCACCACCCAATATATTTTTATCTTAGTGTGGTGCTGTAGGATAAGCACTAGACTGCTAACCATAGGGTCAGTTGTTCAAGCCCACCGGTCACACCTTAGAAACACTATACAGGATTTGACTGTATATGTCAGCTTATATGTATGAGTTGGAATTGACTCGGCAGCACTTAATAACAACATCTATTTGTGGGGGAGAAATAAAGTATATCAAGAAGCTTGCTGTTTAGATTTTATTTTTTACCCTGTAATATCACCAGCTGCTCTTCGGAAACCCTATACAGGGTTGCTATGGGTCGGAATCAACTCAACGGCACTTAACAACATCACCCAGGAGTATGGTGACTATATGTTTCAATTTGTCTGGAACAATCCTGGGTTGCGTCTGTTGTTTCAGACTATTGCTGTTTTCTGATAATGTTGTTGTTATGTGCTGATGAGTTGGTTTTGATTTATAACAACCCTGTATAGGGTTTCCAAGGAGTGGCTGGATTTGAACTGTTGACTTAGTGGTTAGAAATCCAGTGCTTATCCTACAGTGTCATACTAGGATGCCATTTTATACTATTATTATGATATAATAATTATTAATAAGGAGTCTTGGTGGTACTGTGGGTTAGATGTATTACTAATCATAAGATTAGCTGTTCACATCCATCAGCAGCTTCTTGGGAGAAAGATGAGGCTGTCTGCTCCTGTACAGAATTGTTTTGATGGCAGTGGGTTTGGGGTTGTTACTAGCAGTTTGGATAATGCAGATGGTTACGTACTCTACTGGTAGCTGAAAGGTTGGTGGTTGGAAACCTCCCAGAGGCACCTCAAAAGAGAGTCTTGGCAGTCTGCTTTCAAAGTGTCACTGCCTTGAAAACCTGTGGAGCAGTTGAGTCTGCACTACAGGGGTGGCCATGGATTTGGAATCAACTGGACAGCAACTACAAATAGTAACAACAGCAATCTTATCTTTTAATGCTGCCTCAGTGTGTGTAGTGATCAATTTTATGGTGTCTTTATGAGTAAATGTTACGGCACGGGATAGTAAGCATACAAGTAGAAATAGAAACAAAAAGTCAATGACAGCCATGGAAGGTAGAATTTAAAGGGTCAATTTTGAAGATCTGTGTCAAGGATCCGCAAGACCACCTTGATTTACGAGACAGAATCACAGCCTTAAAAAGTTATTCTTAATGTTACTGCTGATCACAGAAAGAATACAGAATAAAGTCAGCAAAGAGGAAAGTCTGGAGAAAACCAGGCACAAGCTTCTATAGTCCCTTCCTGGTAGAGTTACATGGGATATACTTAATTCCCTCAGTAAGGATACGTGACAAACTGTACAAAGTATTCCTAACCAGGGAAGGCCCACGCTAGCCTGAGCATCTTGGATTTTTATTAGACATTAAGTCATATATGTATGTAGTGCCTATGTGACTGACTTCAGTTACTCAAGCTTCAGACTACCAGAGCAAAAGCCTGAAATTCTCTTGATACTTACTAAGTAAAAAACAGATGTTCAGTATAAATCAAATTGTTAGTATAAACTATCTGGTCAAACTGGTACAGAGAGACCCAAAGCTTCAGGCATGCAAGAACGCCCTTATCTGACAGAATGTGCTAAGAGCTCAAAGTTCAGTTCCCAGGAATTGGGTATGTACGTGGTTTGAGCAACTCAGGACTGATTACTAAGTTAACCCTTTCTCACACGAGATCATGCGGGCTATTCAGGTCAGAGTTTGAAATCAGGTAAGTATAATTCTAAAGTCTGTGCTCTTTATATAAGTAATTTTAGTGATCTTTTATATTAATTTGTTATTTTAAAATTACTGGTTACATTAGCTGTGGTATGGATTTGGACTATGCCATACCATCTGTCTTCTCCCCAGCCCCCCAAAATGATATGCAAGATGTATTACATAGTAAAACAACATCTATCTTGATAAATATTGCTAGTGAGTTTTTTTCCTCACATGAAGATAAGGGTTTTTCTGTGTTTTGATTTTTTTTTTTTAATTAGATCTTTCCTAAGTAATGGTGCTAAGATTTCTAATTGTTATTTTCAGTAAATTTTATTTTGGTTTGCATATTTATATGTTGAAAAGTAGTTTCCATGGGGAATAGTCTATAACTGCTCTTTTTGCACTTTACACCATTTTAAAATTTTTGATAAAAAAAAATATGGTAATGGAGTCAGAGAATTTTTAGTTTAAAATTATGTAATATCTGCCTTGTAGATAATAGAGTTATATGAACTTACACAGCTTTAAAAAACTTTTAACCCTTTTTCCTTACTTTCTCCCTAGGTATTTGTGGAAACATTAGACAAGTGTTTTGAAAATGTCTGTGAACTGGATTTAATTTTCCATGTAGACAAGGTACTATTTCTATATTGTCAAATCTTCTAAGCTTTCTATATAAGTAATACATTAAATCGTGTGTCAGTTTTTGTTGATAACACTGTTTAATATATGCTATAAATTATTTTTATTATGAGTCAGGAACTAAGTTTGTTAGAGAAGAGTCAGGTCTTCCCTAGAGGAGATCATATGTATCTAGGGCCAGAAACTTAGCATCAGTGAAGAGCGGTGTGTTCATGGGTATTAGTGGAAACACATCTGAAACACATACCTTGCCTGTTGTTAGTGCTGTCAAGTTGATTTTGACTCATAGTAATTTCCCCAGTGGAGGAAATTGGGTTTAAATTGGATTTTATAGGATACTTGTTGTTGCTAAGTACCATCGAGTCAGGATCCGACTCATAGTGACCCTACACAGGGTTTCTAGGGAGCAGCTGGTGAGTTAGAACTGCCGGCCTTAACGGCCCACACCAATGTTGCAGTTTACCGCATTAACTGGAAACGCCACACCAGAAGTCCGGATTTTATAGGATAGTAGATATGAAATATAGGGATATTTTAGACACAAGGGTTGATGTTGATCAAAGAGGCTTAGTTTTAAAGAACCTTTGGTGCCATTAAGGAGTCCTGGTGTGGTGCTGTGGGTTATGGACTGCAAAGTTGGTTTGAACCACAAGGTGTCAGCGGTTCAAGCTCAACAGCTACTCCTCAGAAGCCCTATACAGGGTTGCTGTGGGTAGGAACCAACTTGACGACATTTTGACTGCACTTAACAACAACAAAATGCCATTAAGGGGCCCTCGTAGTACTGTGGGTTAAGCATTGTGTTGCTAGCCTAGAGGTTGACAGTTCAAACCTATCAACTACTCTAATGAGGCTGTCTCCTCCCATAAGGATTTACGGTCTTAGAGATCCTAAATTGGAGACCCAGAATTGACTCTATGGCAGTGGATTTGATTTTGTTCTTTTAGTGCCATTGGAGCCCTGGTGACACAGGAGTTAAAATGTCCGACTGGTCACTAGAAGTTTCAAGTTCACCAGCTGCTCCATGTGAGAAAGTTGTAGCAGTCTACTTCAATAAAGATTCACTTCCTTGGAAACCCTGTGAGACACTTGTACTCATGATAACTTGACAGTAGTAGGTTTCTTGAGTTGAATGCCATTGGTTTGGGACTTTATTTGGAGGCAATTTAATGTTTTTTAATGAAATTATATTGGTATTATTGTTGCTTTGTTTAATTTTTATAAGAAAATTTTTTCTGCTTTATGGGATTTGGATTGATAGGTGGGAAAATTCAAGATTGGGATATTAATTAGTCTACTGCAGTAGTTCAGAAGAAGTGAACTAAAAGCAGGGACCGTGGGGATGTAAAGAAGTAGAATTGACACGATTTGATGGATTCTTAAAAGCTGGAGGAGAGAGAAAGGAAGAATGACTGAGATAGCTAGGCATTGTTATTGAGTTTTGTTGTTGTTAAGTGCTGTCAAGTTGATTCCAACTCATAGTGACCCTGAATAGGGTTTCTGAGGAGTGGCTGATGGATTTGAACTGCCAACCTTTTGGTTCAAACTTACCTTGTGGTCCAGTGCTTTTACTATATGCCACATCAGGGCTCATTACTGAGTACTGGTGGTGGTGTGCCATGGAGTCAGTTCTAACTCCTAGCAATCCTGTTTGGGATTTCCAAGGCTGTAAATCTTTACGGGAGCAGAAAGCCTCATCTTTTTCCCATGGTATGGCTGGTAGTTTCTAACTTCTGACCTTGAGGTTAGCAGCTCAACTCGTTACGATTACGCTATCAAAGCTCCTTTACTAAGTGTTGTTGTTGTTAAGTGCCACCACATCGGTTCTGACCTATAGCGACCCTGTATAGGGTTTCCAAGGAGCAGCTGGTGAGCTTGAACTGCCGACCTTGCAGTTCAGATGGCTTTGCAGTCTGGTACATTAACCCACAGTGCCACACCAGGACTCCTTACTAACTATTAGTGATGTAAATTTAGGAGGAACAAATTAGACTTTTATTATATGGAAAATTTTTCCTGGATTAAGTTGGTCTAATCAGAGAGGTCTTATTTTCAGTGATTCATCTTTTGAATAAAATGGTCTGAAAATAATCTGTTGTAATTTTATCAAAAGTTATGATTTTAGAAAACTAGCTTTATTGAGGTGTAATTTACATACTGTTGTTGTTGAGTGCCGTCAAGTTAATGCCGACCCATAGCGACCCTGTATAGGGTTTTCGAGGAGTGACTGGTAAGCTTGAACCACCAACGTTGCAGTTCAAATAGTTTTGCAGTCTGGCGCATTAACCCACGGTGCCACACCAGGACATATTTATGTGTTGTTGTTGTTGTTGTTAAATGCCATTGAGTCGGTTCTGACCCATAGCAACCCTATTAGGGTTTCCAAGGAGCAGCTGGTGATCTTGAACCACCGACCTGTGGTTCAGATGACTTTGCAGTCCAGCGCATTAGCCCATAGTGCCACGTCAAGATATATAGAGCAAGAAATTCTAAGAGACTTCAGAAAGTTAATGGAAAAGTGGAATGAGATGATAATGAAATTTTTCCATGAACTTTTTGAAGCTCACTTGTACATTTTAATGTTTGTGAACATCAAAAAACCATGTTTCTCTTAACCAGTTCTTTAGATCACATTTCTCAGTTACTAAGTAATTTGATTTTTATACAGTAACTCAATGTGGACAGTGAACTAAAGCTTGCTATTTATAAGTCTGTTTTTCATGTTATATTGATTTTCTGTAAGTAATGTGATTTATGCTCTTTCATACTTTGAGAAATCCCTGTTATATGTAGGCATAGGGTTCATGATATTCAAAATGATGTTTTAGCATATAAAAGTTTTAACAACTCTTTGTGGCACTATAGGATAACCACTGGACTGAAAAGTGGTTCACAAATGGATGAATGGATGGTTCACATCCACCAGCTGCTCCTCAGAAATCCTATACAGGGTTGCTATGAGTCAGAACCAACTCCATGGCACGAAACCACCATCATAACAAAAGGTCGTTATTTTTAAGTGTTGTCAAATAGTTTCCAACTCATAGTGGTCCTGTTACAGGGTTCCCAAGAAGCAGCTGGTGTTCGCTTTTATAAAACATCTAGCAATTTTTAAAGGAAATTGAGGTGTCTTTTGTAAAATTGGAAGACAACTGTCTGGCCGACTGATTGGAAGAGATCAATGTTTATGCCCATTCCAAAGAGAGGTGACCCAACAGAATGCGGAAATCATTGGACA